CCGAACCAGGCAACGAGCCGGCGGTCCCGGCTGGAGCGGGGCCCGGTACCTGCCGCCCCCCCGGGGGATGGGGCCGTGCTGGAGGTGACAGGCGGACGCTGTAAGTGCGGCCGGGGTGCGGGCCCGGCAGCGGGAGCCACACGCGGCGGCACCGGTGACACGTCCTGGCCCAGCTCAGCCGGGCTGGCCTGTCTGGGAAGGGACCAGAGGCTGCAGAGGCAGTGAGGACACGAGCTGCTCGGCCAAGGCATCATGAACCCACGGATGTTTGAAAGGCTGGAAATGCAGGAGAGGGATGGGATTCTTTCAGCGGTACCTGGGGTGTGCAGGGATGGGAGGGAAGGGGTCAGGGATTGTCCCAGGAATACCTTCCTGGGATCTTTGAACAGGAAGCAGGAGGCTGCAGGGCTCCTCCTGCCACAGGCGCTGGGGCCACTGTTGTGGGGCTGGTGACAGTGCAGCATTCCTGGGCTGAGATGCTGTGGTTGCCTCAGCTTCCCTTCAGGTTGTGGCACAACCTTGTGTTGACTGAAATAAACAAAAATGCTTGGATTTTTTTTGGTCAATCTGAGAGGAAACCCCCTTTGTTTTGCTTCCAGTAAAGTTCACAGCAGTAGCTAAAATAATTGGGGGTGAATTTGGTTGGTTGAGATAGAAAGAGCCCAGCAGAGGGGTCAGTTAGCTGTGACTGTGAAAAGGGATTGTGAGCAAAATGGGGAAAGGTGTCAAGAGATTCCCAGGCTCCTGCTGATGAGGTGTGCCCAGGGGAGCAAAGGACACAGGACACACTTGTCCTGAAAGGATTTGCCCTTGAGAGCTTCAACTACAGGAATATCTCAGGAAGGTATGGAAGGAGAAGTGTCTGTACCAGCTAATGGTGGTGACCCAAGGGAGAGATGCTGGTGTTTGTGCTTCTCCAAGGCTTGTCCCCAGTTCACGTGTTCTTTCACTGCTGGTGTTCTGGGATCTGTGTGGGGATCAGACATGGGGTCATCTGTGCCCAGAGGGGTGAGTTGGAGGGAAGTGTTTTTATCCAGGAGCAAAACAGTGTGGATTCATTGTGTAGGTTGTAAAGTGTTTCTGCTGGATGGTGGTTCCATTTGGTCAGTTCAATGCATGTTCCTCAGCTTCTTCCTGGCAGCTACTGAGTGCTTCATGGGAGTGGTGAGGACAAGGAGATTCCCCTCACCAGACCAAGGGCATTCCAAAGGCTGAGCTGAGGTTTCCGTGCAATTCCTGAACGTGTTTATTTGTTGTTCTTTGTGGCTCAGACGGACAGTCTGTAGTTTGGGCTAGAAATGTTCTGCTTCCTGTCTCAGCCCTCCAGCACTGCTCCAGCAGACTCTGCCACCGTGCTGAGCAGCTCTCCTGAGACCTGCAATTATGGAGGAACAAACAGCCAGACAAAACCCAGGGGTCCTGTGCATCCAGCTGGGAGCCAGGAGGTTGGGCTGAGCGGCTGCCAGCACTGCTGGGCTTTCCAGCCTGTGTTGGCTTTACCTTTAGCTCCAGTTGGCAGAGGGATCTCAGAGCTCTTCTTGAAAGGTATTTTTTAAGAAAAAAAATAAAAAATAAAAGCTTATAAGAGCTCAGAGGACATTCCAGGACATTGCACAGGCTGTGCCACCTGGATGCTCCACACAAGGCCATCCCTCTACTGGGAACTCAGCCTTTCTTGTTCCCTGCTAAATGGCAGCTCTGTGTGCTCAGGGCTGGGGATGCACCAGCTCGTTTCTCCCTCCCTCTGCAGAGGCAGGAGGGCCTGGGAGCTGTGACTGGGCTGTGCAGCACCAGCTCCAGCCCCTGCTCCCTCAGCACAGCGGTGTGGGAGGCTGGGGTGCTGGGGCAGAGCTGGCTGTCCTGGAAAACCCCAGTAAAAGTGTGTTGCCAACAGGAAAAAATCCTGCTGTAGCTCTGTGTGAACAGTTAGGCTTGGAATATCCAGGGCCAGGATGGTTGTCTCCAGCTTCCCTGGATGGGTGGGCTCTGGCAGAGGCAGGTGCTGGAGAATACTGTCACAGGGGCAGGTCCATCACAGGAGGGTGGGCTTGGAGGAACGAGTGCTTGGTGACATTTTTGGAACAAGTGATATAAAAGGAGCTGAAAACTCACCTTCAGGAGCTTGAGAAGGGCAAATCCTGGCAAGTGTCCACACCCTGGTGTCTCTGCTTACTTGGGCATTAGACGAGGCACAGTGCCCACTGCTCCACCTCTATTGCCTTCCCTTCCCTGCTGATCGTGAGCAGGGAATGCTACTCTCTGCCTCAGTGTGACAGTTCTGGTGCACCCCCCCCCCCCCCCCCCCCCCCCCCCCC